AGTGTATTAATAAATAACATAACAGTGCTATAATATTCTTGACAAATACAAAAAATTCCTTACAGGAAATTGCTCCAGATAATTTAGTTTGTGTGGCAGCTATATGCTATAGTGATCCGATCTGAGCAGTTACTTAGAAAGCATCAAGATATATGATATAGTAGTAAGATAAAGGCCTCCGTTCCAACAGATGAGCAGCTTCTTGGTCGATATCTGCACCGATATATCAAAACTGAGAAACTAGTCCGTATATATACAGACAGACGGACGGGCAGAGACGGACAGAAAGAGACTATACCTATGCTGGACAAGTCTTCCTTAGCCTGCAGTGCTCTATATAGAGCGCGACAAGGAGGCGGAATTTGTCTCAAAATAATCCCCACGAGATATAATATTCTTCTACAATTCCGGCCGTTTTCGGCAGATGCTTTCACTCAAAGACTGCACCAAGCCACGAATATCGATTTTTGAGCGGCTTTGTCTTTAATTTCGCCTCGTTTTTGTCCCTCTATCTTGCCATCTTTCTAGCACCCGCCTGAAGATTTTCAAGCTCCATATCCTTCACTTTTTAATATTTACATCAGTTGAAGAGGTCAAAGATCGTTCAGAGTCAACGATCTTTCGACCGTTGGCCTTGTATCACTCGTGGGCTTTTGTTTTTGATTGAACTGAATCACTGTAAGCCTTTTCTAACAAAATTAGCTTAGAAATACAAAACATGAGGTAAATTCTTTGTTCGATATTTTTATCCATTGTAAAAATCGCAAAACACTAAGGTGAACCGACTTAAGCAGCTGCTGTAAACAAATAATTAAGGATAGTCCTACCAACTTAGCTAAATACGTTTTTTCTGAAATATTAAGTATTTACCCGGGGAATTTAATTACAATTTACGGGCGCTTTTTTGTTGTAATCTATATAAAAATTTCTGTAATCCGTAATGAACTTGTGAAATATGGAGTTACGATCAACTGAGCCATCAGACTTCCATAGGCTAAAGCATATTGTTTAGGAGAAACTTTCCGTAGATTCAAGTTTTTAATGTTAACAGCTCATTTGCCATTAAATATATCACAATTATGATTTTATTAAATGTATGTAAAGGAGGATCATACAAGTACTGTCTCTAAAGTTTTGCAACTCTCATATATTTTAGAACTACTTTTACACCAAATACTGAATATTTCGACCTCCTGTCTTATGACTGATGTTAAGCCGAAAATACCGGACAATGTACGAGAAATCTCAATAAATTGAGAGTGCACCTTTTCTTCACAATTATGCGGTGCGCTAAAAATGGTTGAGTTCAGTTTCCTATCTTCTATATAACGATTTTCGATATTCTAATTGAATAAACTACGTTACTAAGATACACCCACTGTTCCCACAATTTACTCCACAATTTAGAATACTAGTGTCTACTTATTTTAAATTACTTTGAACTCAAGTCTCCATATCTTTTTATATTTTAATTCGAACTTATAGTTTTGCCAATATTTAGTGTGGTTCCTGTTGGCAGCGGCACCTGTACGGCATCATCTGGAGAACAGGGCAATTGCATACCGCAGAAGGAGTGTCTGCTACGCGCTGGCATACCAGCTGGACCCTGCGCAGGCGGTTATGGATTGTGCTGTGTTTGTAAATAAAAATTATACCATCAACACATTTACTATATGCAAATCACTTTTTAAATGAGTTCGAAACTCCGAACATCGAATTTAAATGTTTGTTTAATTTTTAGTTCTACAAACTTGCGGTGGGGTTATACGCGAGAACTCCACATATTTTGTCAACCCCAACCATCCAGATGTCTACGATGGTACTGGCAGCTGTCAAGTGACGGTGCAGAAAATACACCCAGACGTGTGTCAGTTGAGGTGAGAACAGCGACTTTTTTAAACACAATTTTCTTTTGACCTAACAAACTACTTTCCAGGCTCGATTTGGATATGTTTTCCATTGCACCGCCCGAAGCGCTGAACCATGTCTGCAATCAGGATCAGCTACTCGTATCCGGCGGCACTCCCATACCAACAATTTGTGGTGCATCCGCGGGCGATCACAGTAAGAAATCATATAACTTTGTTGTTGAAAAATTTTGGTAGATAATCCTCTCCTGGCAGTGTACATTGACGCCGGTTTGGGTCAAAGTAACGCCATCGTGCTCTCCGTTATAACGAGCGGCACTTTCTCACGCATCTGGCGTATACGAGTTACACAAATACACTGCGGTAGTTTGAGTCGAGCCGATCATGGTTGTTTGCAATACTACACCGGTATCAGTGGACGTGTACGAAGCTTCAATTTCAACACGGTAACAGGACGACAGCTCTCCAATCAGGACTATAGTATATGCATACGTGCTGAGCGTAATTTTTGTAGCATACAGTATAACGCCTGTCCGGATACTGGTGAGTGCGAACTAAGACGGTGTTTCAGAGCCACTATTTATTACATTATATTCCTTAGAAAACAACCGCTCACGTTCCTTCACCATATCCGGAAACTCAAACAATCCCACCGGTTCTATGGTCGGTGGTGGCACCCAAGTAACTCAGAACACATGTATCAACGATTGGCTACTCATCGGCTGCATGCGCTCGGTGGATCGTATTCCACCTTTGGCTGCCTGTGAGGATCGCGTCTGTGGCGGCATATTCAGCGCAGAAGTTGGCACCATTCAACGAACTGTGCAATGTAGGTATTGACTGTAGTTAAAGTGATTGTAAGATTAACATTATATTCATTGAAATTACAGCGAGTGTGCGACCTTTTCGCCTGTACTTCCATAGCGATGGAGTCGAAGCGCCTACAGATGTTGATAACCGCGGCTTTTGCTTGGATTTCGTGCAGCAGCCATGTACAAATGGTTTCTAATTTGTTTAAGTTGGTGTTATTTATTCTTAATTAAGTTTTTTTTTTTGTATTTTGCATAAATTAAAAAAAAAGTATGAGATTCTGTACAGTGTCGGTGCGGATACTTTTAGCTTACATCTTATTATATTATCGCTAGCCTTCTGTCACAATCAATTTATATTTAAGGAGTCGATATATCAGATCAGCAAGAGTTTCAAACTCAGAGCATATTTTTGATTGTGAAATGTACAGGTATTTTGTTAAGATATCTGGTTCAATTTTGGGTCATAATTCCATACCATATTTGGCATCCAAGGTAGATTGAAGTGATGTGGAGTATTCCAAAAGTCGATTTAAGCGATGTTTTTTTCAGAAGGGCTTTATAAGAATATAATTTGCTAGAAAGATAACTTCTCAAGTAAAATGCTAGAAAAACTAATAATATATCGGATATTTTACTCTTTATTATTTCTTTTTTCGGTCTTATAAGACAGATATTAGACGTTTGAGTATCCCATGATTTTCGTCTGACAGAACTTAGTGATACAGGTTCAAAACCACCAGAAAAACACGAATGATTTAAGTAATCAGATTATACCACTAGAAGAAAGAATACAGCCCAACCATTATTTAGAAATATTAAAAAAGTGTAGGATTTGTGTTTGAAAAGCTAGGCAAGAGATTTTGTTGGATCTTTTGGGTAAGAAATGCGGTCAATAAGGAGTCCCATTTGACTGTATTAATGATTGTATTTAAAGCTAGAAAGGCAATGAGTGAGTGGTGAATATGCTACCAGATTTGTCTCAGTGTGAGTTGTTTTTTTTTTTTCTTTAAACTGAAATTTCCACACATCCTGTTTTCGGTCGATCAGAAGGCCATTCCAAAAAGTGTTTATGGAAAATGTGTCGAGGAGTGGAAATCGTTGGCATAAGTGTATTAAATCTGGTTGGAGGCGACAAAATAAATATTTTTGAACAATTATTTTATAGAATTTTCGAGGATATTTTCAAAACATACCATGATAACGATCGCAGATCTAGTTATATGCTATAACGCCACATTTAGCCATGTTAATATCACTCGTATTAGTTTATGCTACAAAAATATTTTACAAATTTCTCTAAAAAAAACTTTGAAGAACTCCTTTCTTTTCTTCCAATTCGGTTAAATTAGATTAGTCATTGAGGTTCATAGGTTATAAATCATTTGAGGTGATCGGAATCCTAAAGCCAACTAAGCTCTATAGCATCTTTCAATAAGTTCTGCCCTCTTTGCTCGGTCCACGAGATTCTAATGCAAATGAAACAAGATGGATAGACCAAGTTACTGTCGCACAACTTATGGAAAATTGGTATTGATCAATAACTATACCCCCATCATTAGAAACGAAAAATTATAATCGTCTCACGTAACCTCAAAACAACTACTTCGAAATAATAATAAAAACAAACTGTTTTTATTTCAACAATTTCTTTTCGATATTTATTAAGGTTTCCTTTTAAACTAAGTTATCGATTACAGTTGCCGTATACTAAATATAAAATAATAAATTAAAAGCACACATTTTTTAAAACTTTTTAAAACTTGTTTTTGAAACGTTTTCAMTTCACATTTTTCAATTATATTAATAATTATAATAATAATAATTTCTTGCTTTATTTTTGTGTTATCTATTTTCAGATAATTTTTTACAATTTGTTTTTCTTTTTTTTTTAATTCAGCAAAATTTTTAATAATAATAATTTTTGTTAGACTTTTCCAATAATATATTATATTTTAATTGTATGTATATGATTGTAGCGCTATAACAAGATTTTGAATACTTTATTTAACAATAAACAAAATAAAGAAAAAATATAAAAAAAATTTCAATGCGAAATTTTTGATTTTTAAATTATACAAATTTAATATTTTAAAAATTCGTTTTTTAGTATAAGCATACAAGTATTTATCTTCGTTTTGAAAAATTAAACAATATTTTTATATTAAAAAAACTTATAAAAAGCTTTAAATTTGAGAAAAAACTAATTTTGATAAAAATAAAATTTAAAAAAAAAATTATAATAAAATAACACTTTTCGCTTATTCGTTAGCATAATTATTTACTCTTTGCTTCTTTTCCCTTCTAATTGAATTCGCTTGTCTGCTTTCTACATTTTACATTGTGTGGGGCATACATTTTACAGCGCTGCAATTAACTGCTTTCCACTTGTTTCTTCATCAACTTTTATTTGCCAATTCATTAGCAACCCCATTGTAAAGTTCAACGCACTCTCTCCACACCAAAAGTGCACTGCGCTCATTTTCCAAAGCTTCACTCTAATATTTATATATGTGTATATGTACATATATAGAAGCTTTCGGCTTTCATTCCATTTGTTTCATCTTTCGTTTTACACACTATCCAGGGCACTAGTTTCGCTTTCTTCGAATTCAGCGGCGTCTTTGCTTTGCTCATAACTCACTGGTAACGCTTGAGATCGTCCAAAATGAAATCAATAAGAAAATCATTTTCTGTGTGGTTTCTTTATCTTTTTCATCATATGCTTTTCACACGCTGCTCAGTCTGTTTCATAGTTTAGCCTTTTCTCTATGACTCTCTAACGCTAAAAAGTCTCTGGACGTTGTCTACTACATTTGACTACTACTTAGAATGCTAATAGGTTTTTATTAGGGCCGCAACATGTTGTTTCTCCTCCTCCGTTAGGCCGTTCTTAAGCGTTCGACGCACTGCAAAGAGAATAATCAAATAAGTATGTATTTATAAAGAAGAGTGGAGTGCAAATATGTGAGCAGATGCGTATGTTAATCAACCACAAATGGAAGTTATTAAAGACATGTATTCAAGGTAAGGCACGAAAGCATATTTATATAATTATTAGTCACTATTGTGTAAAAATGTTATGATAAAATATAATTTATAAAGTGTAGGCTTGCATATGTTAGTAACTTAAACTTATTATTAGTCGTCTTCAATTCGATACTTCTTGTAACGTATGACGTTCTCTTCTTGACAATTTGTCGGTGGGAACAACAGAGAAATTCTCCATATGAATGCCATACGAGAGTATTTAAAGAGGTATAATCGCTTGGAAATTGTATATTTTTGGTTATTTCAGCTTATGAAATTTATACCTGTTGATATATTTTTGCTTTGCAAAATATATCTTTTTGGTTATACCAGCTTATTTAATTTATACCACTTTTGGATTATACCATCTTATCTAGTTTGTACCAGTTGGTATAATCGCTTGGCAATTTTAAATATTTTGAATATTTCATCTTATGTAATTTATACCAGTTGGTATATTTGCTTGGTAATACATATCTTACTGAGTTTGTCAATGTTTATCATTTACACCAATTCACTTATCAGCGTATACAACTTATACCAATTAGTATAATCACTGGGTAATCTGTGACATTATATCGGTTTATTTCATTTATACGACTTTGTATAATCGCTTGGTAATTTGATAATTTTAATTATGTCAGCTTATGTAATTTATGCCAGTTGGTATATTTGCTTGGTAATATATGTATATCTTTCTGGTTTTGTGAGGGTACGTCATTTATACCGGTTAATTTATCAGCGTATGCAACTTATACCACTTATTACTTATTATGCCGAACTGCGCTCTGAAATTCTGCACTGGAAGTATTCAAGAAATTTGCCATGGGTTATTGATGAAATCAACGATGCAATCTCGGAAGTAGTAGTTCAAATCGGATCACTATAGCATATATCTGCCATAAAAACTGACTGATCAAATCAAGTTCTTGTGAGTGCTTTTCTATATTTATGTATGCTATTATAGCTTCAGTGTAAACGAAGTTAACGTTCCTTCTGGTTTTAAAATCTTTTTTTTTTTTTTAACAAATCTGGCGTTAATATAGTAATTAGTAATGTGTTGTCTATTCCATTATTTCGAAAAATTTTATAATATGTATGTAGCGTTTTGAGCGAGGTATCTTTAAACTTATAAATTTACGATAAATTTAATATTAAAGTTAGTAACAAGCAATTTATTTCTTTATTTTTCGTGTTATTATTTATAATTTTTTTCTTTCTTGTTTTAATTTTTCATGCAAGTTTTTTATGAACATTAGTTGGCAACATTCAAAAACTTTCAAAATGCATTTCAAAAAGTTTTCAAAAATCAAAAACTTCACTAAACGTTGGCTATAGCCAACAACAAAATAATTACACTAACCAATTTGGCCTTTATAACGGTGCTATGTCAGCGATCTTTTTATGGCGATGGTGCGCGTTCAACTATGAATCCTTCGCGCGTGCGCGACCGCTTCACTGCAGCCAACAAAGCGCGAAACGAACGTGTTTAGCGAGTTGGATTTTCACGATTTTGGTCATTTTTGGTTTTGTTATGATTTATTTAATTACATAAATTACGTTTATTTTGTAATGAGAGATTAAGATGAGTTACAGGTACATAACGAGTTCCAATTTTAACCCAATTTTAAGTGTATGAAGATATATTTTTATTTTTGTTGGATCATATGAAATTAATAAAATAAAATAATACAAATTTGTTTTAGATAAAATTATTTAAGTAGGTCAAATTAACTAATATTAAGTACTGAAAATATTTTTGGTTAATTTATAATAGTTTTGTATATTTACAAAATAGTATAACTGTGAATTGTGTATGATGAATGTCATTACAAAAGTTTTCGAATTTTTTTTTTACACCAGTCAACGAAGCCAAAAAAACGTTAACGGAAAATTAAAACAAAATTTTAAATTTGTTGGTGTGATTAATAATATTTTTGCTATTTGAATTTTTTAAGACATATAGGGTGTCTGTTTGTAAGTAAATGCGCTGATGTGTTTGCATTTGTTTTTGTAACTCGCTTATTGTCGTGTAGGCGCGTTTAAATAGTCGATTTGTACGCTAGTGAAAAACGAATTGTGTGTTAATCAATGAATTGACGCAAATTTCCAAATTCACCACACCTCCCATCACCACATTGCCTACTAACTAGATATGAACGAAAGCATAAATTCCTAACTTACATGATTTGCGATCAGCATGGCGTGTGCGCTTCCGTTCGCGCGGCGTGGTACGTGTACCAGGCGCTTTGGTTGCAGTCTTCACCAATGATTCCAGTATCTCGTCATCGCCATCGGTGAAATTCTCCTCGCTCTGTCGTGTGATGGGCGAGCGCAACTGTTCGGCACGTCGGCGGCGCCATGTCAATGTGCCACTGGCGTCGGGTGTATCCGCGCCGGCAGAGCCGAGCAGTTCCCTGTTTGGAAAAATAAGCAAATTTGAGTTAAAATAAAAATTTGCAATAGAAAAAAAAATTCCCTACTTTAACTCGGCATCAGCGCGATCTTCTTTGGTTTTGAATTTGGCCATATCGATAATGAGCTTGCCACGCGTCTTATTGCGTTCGCGATGGTTCGCCTTCTTCTCCAGCTGTTGTTGTACGCGTTCGCGTGTCGTACGATATTCCAGCGCGAATTCCGACAAAATACGACAGAATTCATTGGGCTTCGATTCGGAGATGGTGTGTTGTGGCGCGCCCAACCACAGCAGGAACTTGCGGTATCTGTAACACAAATCAATTATTTTTGTTTTACAACCACTAATTCTCTCTTCAAAGCTCAACTTCAACCAACCTGTTGATCACACGTCGATGCACGATCTGTAATATGATAATACGCTCTGCGCAATCGGCTAGGAAGTCGACTAACTTCTGCTTTAGCTGTGGTGGACAATCGTGTTTGGCGATTAGCTTGAGTCGATCCCAAGACGCCTTGCATTCAGTCTCTAATTGACTTAGGTTGTGGGCCAAATCGGAAAAATCTGCTTTCGATGCGCGTGTAATTGGTCCGATTTCCGAGTAAAGATCTGTCGTATCTGGCGACGATTCCATAACCATGTGGCACAAGTGATGTAGCAGCGAATGCTTGTGTACGGTATCTTTAACCTCAGGCACCTGTGTATAATAAGTTGACGAGATTAATGAAAATGGTTATTCTTCGATCTCATAAGTGATACTTTCGATTATCGAAAACGAAAATATAGAGAATACTGAAAGTAAAATAATAAAAGCAAGAAGTTCCGTCGTCGGGAGGTAGAAGTCAGAAGCTTAAGATGAAGTTTATCAGTATTTGAAGTCGGGAGCTTTTGTTTTGGGTTCACGAAATGGTAGGTCCTTAAAGATTAAGGGTCTTTAAAGTTTTCTAAATTGTCTGTTATAAGATAGTCTTGATTTTATTTTTGTGATTTTATTATGTAAATCCATACATATATGTAGAATCAAGACTCAATTAAAAATGAAATTTAAGAAAACTTCTCTCCTTTTTGAAACTGTGGATCTTTATCCTTCCTATTTGAGCCTCGATCTTATTGTATTTGACTCTGAGTCGGATCTTCAAGTCATCGAAATAGTATATTGAAATGAAATAAAGAATAAAATAAGAAATAAGAGTTAAACAAGTATTTATACTCGTCAGAAGGCTTTTTATTACGAATACCACTTATAAGATTTTGTACAACTTACAACCTGATCTACTGTGAGCTGTTTGTAATTTCGATTCTATGGAGGCTCAAACTGTAGCCTTCAAAACCACTATTTAAAAGTTTTCATGTTCAATGTGTACCGCGTTAAATTATACTTACCTTAGACAAATACTCGATCTGGAAACCCTTAACTGGTGCACCATTCAAAAATATTCCGACAGACAGCAGTGTGGACAGAATGCATTTGAAGGTGCGATTATTGCGTAGGATTTCGATACCCTGTTTCAGATCCATCAATGGCTCCGCAATTTCTTTCTATAAAACGAGTGAGAAAAAATTGTCATTAGTATTTGTTATTCTACTTTTCACTGAATAGTGGGGTATTAACTTACTTCGCTATTATCGAAATCCAAGCGGAATGCCCACAATTTTAAGCGTGCCCCCAACTCGGAAATGGAGGCCAGTGTAAGTAGAAATTGTTCGGCGCTACCCAAAGGCAGTTCGGGATTGGCCATCTGTAGGGAAAATACAAAGAAATAATATTTTAGCAGTATAACGGTAATATATAGGGTGTTTCTTTTAGGACTTTATTTGCATTTATAAAAAAAAAAATATTGGAATGCAAAATTAAATCAAATTTTTTTTAATTGCATGACAAGTGACAATAGAATACAAAATGACACACCCTGTATACTGTATATATTTCTATAAATTTAGCTAAAATAAAAAAAATTCTATATAATAATATTTTGAATACTGATTTTTATATAGAACAACACTTATCATGGTTGGTAAAATAACAAATTAAACACCCTGTATTTTATAAAATTTTTTGAAACTTTCTGTCCCTTTTTTCCAGTGTACTGGCTTCCATACCTGCGCTTCTTGTATTTTGCCGCGTTCTTCATCGGTTGGCAGCATATTCAATAGCTTATCGATGCCCTCGCGCGTCACCACCGTCGCGTCCATTTTCAATATCGCCGCTTTGATAGCGCGCGGTGGTGGTAATTTGGTCATCGCAATATTGATTGCATTCGAACGTTTATGATCCAATACGATAATCTCTTTGCTTTTATTCAGTTCTTGTTGTTTCTGGAATATGTCATGTAACAACCGTTAGAAATATTATGAAAACGATAAAAGTGCTCAGCATTTAAAATGAAGAGTGTAAACATAAAATGAGAGAATGAACGAGAATTGGGTGTACGCAAGATTTTATTGTATTTATTCATAATCATAGGTTACATAGACAGTTGTGCTTGACAAACAATAACACTGTGTACCAAACCATAATGTGTTGCTGTTGTGTAGCAAGCGAAGTTTTGAAACATAGGAATTTATGTTGTAGCGTTTGTGAAGAAAAATAATGCGAAAGTAATGGTATTGTTGAATGTAAATCTCTGTTTATATAATACTATGGCTTCCCAATGATCTCAAATGTCCTGGCTCTTAATAACTCTGATTTCTGTTTGGATGAACTTGAAATGCTTTGTAGAAATATGTACAAAAATTTATATTTTGAAATACAATTTTCTGATATGAGGAACTTTTAGGAACTATTCTAGTAACATATTACAATTGATTTAAATATTAGTCAAGCTCTTTCAAATGCTAGTTTGAAGGTAAGCATCCATTTGTTATTACAGAAACTTTTACGATACTGTAATCTATTAAAATAAATTACCTACGTTTTCCTCATTAGCTATTGGAATCATAAAAACAAAAAATATTTTGAGAGCCAGGAGTCGCTTAGATATATTTATGTGGTGTATTATACGAGGTTTGTTCAAAAAGTATCGCGAATTCTTTATTCCTTAAATAAGTAAAGTAAGAAAAATTCAAAATTCGCGCTACTTTTTGTACAAACCTCGTACCTCGCCTAAAGACGTCATTAAAAGTAATTAAATTATTTACCTTTTTTTTTTAATACAAAATTAATGACCAAATTTTTCAATTTCTTTAAACCTAACTTAATTTTTTTTTATAAAAATACATGTTATTAATTTTGAGTACAAATATATATATACATTTTTCGATAGGGAGTATCATTAAAAATAACATACTAAATCGATATCTCATTTTCGAATTCACTTTGGCGATTGCTTGGGGACAAATGATCATATTTTTCTGCATGCAGTGTCTATAGTTCTCCATACTTATTGGCAGTATTTGGTAGTTGCCAATTTTCGCCGCTATGTTGCCAACTTTCGTTTTCTAATAACCGCAAGCCATTGTAAGGGCAATATCTTTTAGTTAGATTCTTTTTGTTTTTTCTTTGTTGATTTTATACTCAGGGTCAGTTTAACGGCAGTTGACCTTTTCTTAGCACTAGCGAGATCGGGTGAAAATCGATAATAACATAATTAAAAAATTATAAGCATTTTAGGCTTAAAAATTTTATAAGTATACCTCTCAAATAATAAAGAAAAATGTATTAATTGTTAATTATATTTTGTTTTCGTAGTTATAGTAACATTAAAAACTTATTGAAGTTTGTACGAAAAACTAACAAAGTATTAAAATAACTTTCTTTTAAAAAATAGCTTGAACCATTTTTTTTTAATATACTATGAATTTAACGGAATCAAATATATTATACTACATGTATGTATGTATATATCAAACACAGTTTTCTGCTACAAAAAGTCTTTAAAAAAAATTAAAAATGTATCTCAATTCATCACCTGGCGTTATCGTTATCTAATCTAAATTTATATTTTTCTGAACTAAATCAAACTAGAAGCTATAACAAGCACGTGATTTATACATCGATGTATGTACACATAGCATTATACATATTTTCGAACCATTTCCTCAATGACTGTTTAGTACCACTTATAAATAGGTGATAATCAGCACTTTGGTGACAAGAGTACCGCAATCATAAGCAGTAAATCACAGATTTAGATTTAGCTAATAATAAAAGCAACAACAATTCGTATGGGTTTATGCAGACCTTAAGAAACCGGTGCTTAATATACATACGTATTTTAGCAGGATATCATATACGGTCTGAATATAGAACAGCAAACTAAAAGCTACTTAAGTTTACGAAATCAGATTAACAGAACAGAGAAAAACAGAAAATCTAAAAAAAAAAAAAATATTAGACACATTTTGGTGTTTTAGTGACTGAGATTGTGCGACCGCTAAACCAAGTGTAATTTGTGTCAAACAAAAATAATTTTGAAGAACAAAAACTTTTACATACAAACATATACAAATGTAGAAGGCAGACAAGAAGTAGTGTAGTGTCTTGTGGAGAATGTGGAGATATGCAGTGCAGTCAATAATAAAAACCAACACCAAAACTAGCAGAAACAAGGACCAAAATCAGAAAAAAAATCCATTGCACTCACCTCCTAAATATTTTTATTTTTTTTATTTTTTATTTTTTTTTTTTTAATTATAATTTCATTTTCGTTTATCATTTTTGATTATATATATATATATATATATATATATATATATATATATATATTTTTTTTTTGTAATTTAATATAGTTGCGTTCATTGCAAGCATTTCAAGACATTGTTTTCAACATAGTAGGCACATATAGTATATAGTTCATTCCATAACAAATCCGTTGACATGTGGTGGAGTAGACACAAGTTGTTGTATAGCATGTAGCAACATTGTGTTGTTTTCAATTTGTAATTGCATATCATTTTATTGCAACAAAATAAAACATAGAAAAGTAAACAGAAACAGAAATTTCATTGTATTGGTTTATTCACACATAAAAGTTTCAAAAAAGAGTTCAATACTTAAGAAAATATATGTAAAACAAAGCACCGAAATCACCACAAAAAACACTATTTTCAAATTGTTGCAAGAACAACATTTCACAATTGCCACCCAAACAGGCTGTTAATCAAAATTCAAAGTTCCGTTATTTTTATCGAAAACACACACTCACCTTAGTCATAAGATCTTTGGCTCGGGACTCGAAGAGATGCTCCAATTTTTGCGTGTCCACATTGGACGGTGGCAACTCATCCCAGATGGTTTTGCCAATCACAACGGGTATCAGGTCCTCGCGCACTTCCTTCCAGAACAGTTTAACCTGTGTATAAAGTCATAATAATTATTATGATATTTTATCTAAACTTTTACTGGAACATTCACATAAATACATAATACACTCCTAAATCTAGACAACATTTTCCATTAAAAATATGCTATTTTTAGCAAAGACACATACTATGTTCCTAAATTATATCTGAACCCTGGATAGCTTATACATATTTTTTCCCTAAAGCTTCTAGATGGAACACAGGATCTTAATAGCGCGAATCTTTCTGAAACACCTAATAACACTTTTCTACAATAGCAATCTAAATTTTTATTTCAATTTATCGTTTCTAAATACTTACAAATATAAATCTCGTCTACTTACCGTCTTCTTATTCTTTCTAATGGTGTTCGTGTTGCTCATATCACCATTCATCGAGCCATTCATGGAGCTATTGGCACTATTAGTCATGCTGCCGTAACCACTGTAGCTGAACATCGGCGGTGGCGCCATGCTGCCCAGGCTATTCATGGGCGGTGGACATACAATGTGTGCTGGTGGCATCATTGGCGGTGGTATACCACCACCGAATGGTGGTGGTGGTGGCGGTACACCAACGCCCAGACCACGTGGCGCCAACACATCTTTCTCATCTTCTGAATTCAAATCGGTAAAGTCTAGATCACATAGGTTCAATGGGCGGATCATATTGCGTACGAGCTCTTCCCAGTGCAGCTCATTTTCGGATTTTTTTGGCTCAACCTTTTTGACGTCTTGATCCAAACTGGATGAGCTGGAATATAAATTAAATGAGGAAAATATTATTATTAAGCGAATTTGAGTTATTGAGTGTATATAAACTTTAGAAGCAAAAATTTGCTAAAATTTTCCATAAAGTGTTTTTAATCATTTGTCAGAATGAAGTGACTTTACTTTTATAAGTCCAGACTTATTACCAAATTTTTGCAAGTTAGCTTCGTAAATATTATCCCATAACTAAATTCTTCAAATTTAAAAATTTCTGCCACTTTTAAATAGATAACAAACTTCTCAGCCACAGAGTGGAACAAGAAGATACAGCTTCGAAAAGAGCATACAAAAAAACTACCATCGAACGAATAATAAACCAAAAGATGACGCCCGAAACCGTTATAAGTCACAGCTTAGGTTTAGATCAGTTGAATTATCCCGCAGGTAGTTTTTGTAGAGCCATTCTTGCCCATCTTGGTCGTGCTAAGTAATACCCAACCCCTTAATACCCCCTCCGAAACCAAAAATAAGAAAGCAACCCTCTCAGTTTATCTTCTCGAAAGCAAATCTCACAGTTCTCTGATTTCTTTCCTATACATTTGCTATGCAATATCCTCACATCTAAAACAATCAGGCCACTAATATCTATATGTGTGCCAAAGCAGAAGTCGCTGGAAGTTTCATAGACTCAACAACGAATCAATCACGATCCGCCTCCAGATCATGTGACTAGAATTCAATTCGTTGTCAGTATATTAAAGTATTTCATCAGCTTTATCAATAAAATATCCTCAGATGAAGGGTAGGGTTAAGTATAGCCAATATTCTTGCTATTAAGTTAACTGTAGGAACTGTTTTTATGCAGAGATCAAACACCTTTAGTTATTATCTGATTATTCATTTGAAAAGTGCAGAGATCTTTAGTTCAGCCGATATAAGCTTTAGTTCACAACCCAGTTAATGACTACCATTAAAGAATGAAACTAGGAGTTTTCACATTTGTATTTGTAAGTAATGAATTTTGTCAAAATCTTCTATTGAAACAAATATTCACATATTGCCTTTTTGAAAAAAAAAGTTTAACTTAAATATTTCCATAAACTATTGAAAATTATGGACTTTGTAAGTAGTTCCTGATCTAGGAATAACCTTTTACTTAGAATATAAGTATGTACATTAATTATAGTATATATGACTTTGCAGGGAGTCGTAGCTTGCTCCAAAATATATTTACATGTAAGACTACGGTAGGCGTTTCTTCTAAAGTTAGTAAAAATTAAATTATAATAATCGTTTAATTATAAGTTCGATATATTACTTATCTAACAAGATTATAGAACGAACCATTAGATTATCGAAATCTTATCAACCCTGAAGGTGGTCAATAAAGGCTACATATACATATATACCAACGCACTCACACTTGAAATAGTTAAATGAATTGAAACATTGTTTGAGCCTTATCTCCAAACCATATATTATAGCACATATAACTACATACCTACATGGTACATATGGTATACATATATACATATATGGTAGCTACTTTACACTAGTATTAGAAATCATAAAACTTTCTATCTCAACGAGCGATTACAGGTAACGAATTTTGCAAAAGCGCATGAGTTACTTTAACAAATATACACAAAATTATTGCAAATCGATAAAAAAGAGCAAACAATAATAATAAAAAAATAATGGTGAAATGCAGCTGATCAGGTATATAATGCTTGCGGTAAGCGAGTTGATGCAACAGTTTCGCAAACGTTCTCCCACGTAGCAGCACAAGAAAAACACTTCTCAGCAACATGGATGTTCGTAGTCTTTGCAACGATAGTTTTATTTAAATAAATATAATATTTTCGCATTTTACAGTTTAACACCGCCTGCGAAAAAGCCAAGGCTTTCACCAAGAAGCCAACCGATGCTGAGTTCTTGGAATTCTACGGTCTCTTCAAGCAAGCCACCGTCGGCGATGTCAACATTCCCGCTCCTGGCGCTCTTGACCTGAAGGCCAAGGCTAAATTCGATGCATGGAACAAGCATAAGGGTTTGTCCCAGGACGCTGCCAAGGCTGCCTATATTGCCACCTATGAGAAATATGCACCCAAATACGCATAAATTGTATGGTTTTGCAAAAATCGAATAAGTTAATTGGCTAAATTTTGATTGGATTATGTAAAATAAATTAACTAAAAATTCGAATTGAGTTATTTTACTTTGTGCAGAATATTTATTAATGCTTTAAGCAGAGGATACCAATTGAGGTATAGTGAAAAACACAAGCATCAATGCAATCAAGCTGGTTGATACTACGCGTATGTTAAGTGATCAAGCAGCTATCCTCTCTTAGGACTATTTGTATATGAAATTTTTAAAGATGAGAAACTTATTAGAAATGATATTCACATGAAAACCTACCATCGGTCAACTGTTTAACATAACGCCCTTGAAGTAAATTAGGCTCAAGAGATACAAGCGCCTTCTTCAGTGGCCCGCGGTCAACGGCCGTAAGTGTATCGTGTTTAATGATAAAAAAACAATATTAAGCAAAACGACGAAATCTAAGAAAAAACTTCCAAAAATTTCCGAAAACATTGTATGCCTTGGGTTCAGGGTGAACACCATATCCATATGGCGTCTATGCGAAATAGTTTCTCAGTTTTATTTTGCGATATATCTACGCTCTACAAGAAACTGCTCATTTTTTGCTATTGCTGATATCGGAACAATATCCAACAACGTCCAGTACGGCTATCAAAAACTAACGATGAGTCTGCGATCTATGCTTCCGACCTGGAAACAGGCAATCAACCGGCCGAATATCGTGGTAAAGATGAACCGAAGGTGTTAAAACCACGTCATAAAAGGTCTAAAATCAGGTTTATGTTGACAGTTTTCTTCGATTATCGAGGTGTGGTGTAGTTCGAACTGCTTCCAACCGGCCAAACTGCCTAGAAGGAATACTATTTGACTGTTATGCGTTATTCGGGCGAAGCTTTTGATAAAAAGGGTCCGGAATTATGGCCGACAACTCAGAAATTCCGAAAATTTACTTCAACAACTGTGCCGAGAATTGAAAAAAAGGATGGTACAATGGTGCTTGAGCCAAGTAGGATTTTCACATTTAAAATCATTTTGAAATTATGAAAAAGGGTCTTAAAATGTTTTGCTCATAGCAGTACTAGCCACACAAACAAAAAGCTTACTTTAAACATGATGAATTGTTTCATTCAATATTATTTATTTCAGTGAACACTCAAAATGTATGTGAAAAATAAAAGCTATTTCTCTTGATATTTAAAGAAATTTAAATGACGTGGGCCTATCTGTAGTATTTGCAAGAGATTTTGAATCCAGTATATAAAAGCCCGTGAGGAATCAATAGAACTCGCAATATTTCAGACTTATCCTGTATATCTATAAGAATTAACTTTATTATTACATGTACACAAAGAATATACAAAAGCATTGCCAGAGGATGATCATCTCTCAAAGCGAATCAACTATTAAGCCCTACCAGTAAGGAATTTAATATTTCCCTTAGCAAATCTGCAACATAGTCAAAGCAACAGGAAATCTATACCAGTACTAGAAATTATAAGTTAAAATAGACTTCTTTTACTAATTCAAATATATTTTACTCAATCAAAAGTTCCTATCAGGCGGGTAATTTATAAAGTATAATATTAATTGCCTGATAAGCCATAAAAGACTAAATGCAAAGGAAATTCCCTACAAATAAATATGAGATTTCAATAGCTAATCCATTACACTGCACTGAAGAACATAAATCAAAGTCTTTAAATATACTGCTCCACATACATTGCAATAATAAATAAGAACGTCAATTTGATAAGATTTAGTTATATTGAAATAGTACTACCAGTATTAACTAAATACAGTTAACTAAGCCAGTGGCTATAAAAGGCCTAAGGTACAAGCTAATGTCGTCAGTTAAACCTTAGCCGCCTTCAAAGTCAATAATGGATGTAAGTCGAAGAATATAACTTAGAAAGCGTGCGAATGCCAAAGAGAGAGAGAGAGAGAGAGAGAGATAGAGAAAAAGCGCGATTACTTGGTTACCGTGTTTTTATTATAATTTTTAAATTTTTTATTATAATTTTCCATTCTTTTAATTAATTTTTTCTTTTGTATAGTTCAACACCGCCTGCGAAAAAGCCAAAGCTTTCACCAAGAAGCCCTCCAACGCCGAGTTCTTGGAATTCTACGGTCTCTTTAAGCAAGCCACCGTCGGCGATGTCAACATTCCCGCTCCCAGCGCTCTTGACTTGACGGCCAAGGCTAAATTCGACGCATGGAGCAAGCACAAGGGTTTGTCCCAGGATGCCGCCAAGGCCGCCTACATTGCCACCTATGAGAAATACGCTCCCATCTATGCTTAAGCTGATTGTTTTGGAAATTATATTTATGCAAGTACTGTTAACGTAGACGAAAAAAGGAAATTTGGATAAAATGATTTAAATTTAAATAGATCAAATTTGCGAAGTGCTTTAATTAATATTGGTGACTTGCCACAGCAAAAGGTTAGATGGTGAGTGATCTTTGTTATCTCCACCAAGTGACAGCTTGACCTGTAACTGTGGACTAGGTTTTAATACGTTTCGTGTTTATTATAAATATATAAGAAATATTTCTAAGAGAAAGTTTCGAAGCAGGTCTAGCTGTTTCTGGTTGGAGAATCACAAGAGATGTCTTAACGTTACTTAAGGGCTTTAGTTGAGAAATTAATAATATCACAGGTTGGTTAGTGTTAATTGGAAGCGAAATTCTGAAAGGAAAGAATAAGGATTCAAATTAACTCGGAAAGTGCTAGCTAACATTAATTAACTCTGCAGCTTATCGACCAAAATTAAAAGCTTCACCTATTCACCCATTCTAACTAAGCCGTGAGTGATGAAAGTAAGTGCCCACTTAAGCACGCGAGAACCCGATCTTGAGTACCTAGTTATATAAGCAGAGCTCGTTCTCTGAGAAAAAAGTTGCAGTTCGAACTCAGAATTCAAATTAACTCATTACGAAAACATGTGTATTTAATAGACAATGGTTTTTAATTGAGATATCTCTTCTCCATCTAAACTAGAAACTATTTTGTTTGTATTTTGTTTCCAGTTGAAATAGATCCTCACTGCTCTATAGAAAGTTGAATAAATAAAGAGAACCGAGCTTATTGCTCTGTTAAAAACGAAATCAGATAAATATAACATGGATGCGCTTGTCTTTGAGTCCAAGTAGAATTAGTCGAAAGATGTCCTAAAATCATAGGGGGTTTTTAACCGAAGATAAACTGGAATAAAGTTTATAGCTACTACCGCTACATTTGTACCTTCAACCCAATAAAGGAAAGTATTACCCATACATATATATATATATATACTCACAGATATATAGCTGTATATGTTTGTAGATCTACCACTGATTTACACACCTACTTCTATATATAATATGATTACTAATAACTGAAGTAATTTATGCCGACCGGTCAGCATGACATAGACAATAAAAAGTATTTAGCGTCAAGTGTTGAAAGAGACTTTGATACAAAGCGGCTGTAAAGCAATTAAAACCGGTAAAATAAAAACGTATACTTCATACCACCGAATTGGACTCTCATGTTCGAAATGAGAACTTAGTGAAAACCAATAAATAAAAACAAAAAGCGCAAGAAAATAGAGAGCCCCCGAACTTATCAGCACTTTCGAACATATTAATCTTTATAACAGCGATTATTCATATCTCACAAAAATTGCCTATAAAAGTGGAGGGCGGTTGAGAAGGCGACACTTTTAGTCGTACAAAAGCACTATTAAGAGTTTGCACCATGGATGTAAGTAACAGTGCATTTAACAGAATTCAAAAAAAAAAAAAAAATAAAAATATTGAACTTATATAGAAACAGGAGTTAAGGGTCTTAGTCTTCATTTAGACCCTTAGTCTTAAGGGTCTTAGTACCAATTATAACGCAGTTTTAGATACCACAACGGATCATGTATCTAATAGTATACTATATAATTAGAGTTTACTAAATCGATTGTGAGGTTTTGGAATACAGTTAAAAATAATGAAATTCTGATAGATGATACAGTGTTCCGAATATCGAATTTATTGTCCGATATTTCTCATATTAAAAATATAATATATGTCCGTCTTCGATTCACCACTAGTAGGGAAGAATGTTAAATTATATCGGAGAAGGCTGATAGAAAAATAAAATACTATATAATCGGGTAAGAATTTCTCAGTACCGATTAATTATGATTTTGGACTATTTATGTCAGTTCTAGGTTACGAGAATATACTTGGAGTTTACCCGATCGAAAGTTGTCCTGGACCATCTAACTCTTTTTGGGTCGGGGTACCTCTAGAAAACAGTGATATAATAATTTTCGAAAACAGTACCGAGAGAAACGTCTTCGGTCTGATCAGAGGCCGACTATCATGGCCACAAACCTTTGGCGCAAAGTAAATTATATAGATTCGTTAAATATTTATCTAAAGCTGAACTCAAATCGAACTTACCGTGACATTTCGCCTTTACTTTTGCTCTTGGCGAGTCCCTCTTTGGCTTTCGATATGAGACCGGACATATCGCCAACAATGCGATTCTGCAGTTTCTCCTCATGCGTTGGACTCATTGGCATATTGCTAAGTTTCTGTGTGAGATCCTTCACAGTGTGATCACGTTTCAGCTGCTGCAACAGTTTTCTATCCTCATTATCGGATTCTATGAGGGGAAGTCCAATAAAAAACTCAATAAAAGGCACAAAAATATTATGAAAATCAAATTTTAATAGAAAAATAAAAGGATAATCAAAATGCTGGATTTGATAAACAAAATTTTGAAATATTTTGTACAGACACAAAGCGGTTAGATGGAGAAGAAATAGAAGAAGGCATCAAAAACCAAAACAACAAAAAGATCGTGAATGAAACGCAAAAAGCTGCACTTCAGCACGCGAGAGACAATGATCTAACAATGAAAGACTTCGGGGTGGTGGAACAGAGAGAAGAAGAGAATTGGCGCTCACCTGTTATTGCTAATACATCACCCGAATTGAGAGAGTCCATATCGACGGTGTTCATTTCGAGCGAAGCGTCTGCCGGGGAGTGTAGACCGTAATGCGATGGCGGCGGTGGTGGTGGAGTCGGCATCATAAAGTAGTGATCCAATAAATCTGGTGGCGGCGGCGGTGGAGGAGGTGGTGGCGGTGCTGCACTCGCATTAAAATTCGTGTGAGGTGTATTTAACGGTGATGATGGTGTGTCGGGTGTAAAATCCGTGGATAAAGGTGTTTGTGGTGTTGTTGGTGTTGAGAGGGACGAGAGAGTCCTACTGGGTGTCGAGGGTGTATTCGTCGAAGTCTGACCAGTAATGGGTGCCGCGTGGTGACACTCCACAGCCATTGGTTCTTCGGGTAGCGTATGTATTGGACTGGTTAAAGGTGTCACATTATGCTTGAGATTGTATTCGTAAGTGTTTGGGGGTGCTTTTGGTGTGGATTGGCTGAAGTCGAAGCCGTTTAGCGACTTTTTGGGGCTCAAGACGGCCGCCAACACATTGTGTGCAGTTTGTATAGTGGGGCTTTGTATTGAATTTTGATGCTGCAAAGTGGGCGTAATCGCCTGTTGTTGTTGATTCAGTTGTAATTGTTGTTGTTGTTGCTGCTGTTGCAATTGATTTTGATTCTTTGGTGTGCTCAGCTGATTGTAATAGCTATTCAGCCGATTGGCATCATTTTCGAATTTCTTATATGCTATGTTGTTGTTGTGATTGTTGTCCAACTGATCACCGCCACGTTGTATATTCTTCATGATGCCGTTAATCACAGTCGCGTTGCGTTCCATTAGCAAGTTCTTTTTGGTTAAAAACTCCGGTGCCGTATGCAATTTATTGTTGTTGTTGTTGTTGCTGTGCAACGGATTCGCATTGATGTTGTTGTTGATGATCGAAATGGTGTTGCTGCCCAACAAATGCCGGGTGGGACTCAACAAACTGTTGCTATTGTTTGTGTTATTGTTGATGTTACACAAATTGTTGTTGTTGTTATTGTTGTTGGCTGTAGTATTACCACCCGAGTTCGCAGTGGAATTTGTATTGATGAGATTGATGTGGTTGTTAGTGGCATTGGCGGTGTTGTTGCTGCTAGCAATGTTGGTGGTGTGATTGCCATGAATGCTGTTGTTGCTATTGTTGTGAATTTTATTTTGATTTATGCTAATGCTAGCGTCATTGGTTATATTTAATGATTCTGGTGGACTATCGCCCATTTTCACCGTTGCTGGTATGGCGGTGACAATTTGTCCTACACACATCGGCACAAATGATAGGTGTGGTGGCAATGATTGCAATGAAAATGATGAAAGCGCGCATATGTGTATGGTTTTTTTTTTTTTTTKTTGTATGTTTTTTTTTTTTTTTTTTTTTTTTGTTGACAGTTTACATGTTTTACATATCCAATATGGGTAGGCAGCGCATTTTATTATATAAGTCAGTATGGATGGAGCAACACATTTTTTGTTGTTGTTGTTGTTAATCGAGACAGGCGTACAATTGGAAAGTTAGAAAAATATTTTTAAATGTATAAAAATCTTGTTAGTAAGCCGCAAAAATATACTAAATATACGGCAAAAAAGCTTGGTGTTCAAAAACTAAAAACACAGAGAGAGCATTGAAAACCGCTCTTCCAAACTTTCTTTTCAACATAAAACCCCTACTGTACTCACCGATTTCCTCGCGTCGCTCCAAGGCCGCGAAAATACCATTCGCTACAGCCTCTTGTTGCTCCTTGAGAAAACTTTTGTGGCGTTCGGCGCGTTCGCGTCGTCTACGCAAGCCGGGCGTTACGCCCACGCCGTCGCGCGCTATATGTTACACAAGTTCATAATATTAAACACAGTTAATACCGTTATACAAGTATAAGCAAAAATCTTCACATATAAACACCTTTATCGCCATTGAATACACCGTTCGCCGCAAACTCGGCGGAGTTCGCTGAACCCGAACTGTCCTCGTCCAGCACACCGTGCGTGGGTGTCATTCTCTTTGGTGACGCTATCACTTTGCTGACATGTGGACTCGTGCCGGTGCTGTGACGTCGCGATTTGCGTCGCTCGGCTGTGTCGGTGCTTTGGCGGTGGCGTTGCGTCTTGCGCAGCGAGTTCTCCGGCAGGCGTATACCCTCCACCTCGCCATCCTCGAATCTGTAAGATTTCAATTATAACATTTAGTATGTATACCCCCTGAGCTTTGCGTATTGTGTCATACTCACTTCAATACTGCCTCGTAAAGCTGCAATTGATCCAACAGATCTAGATCTGTGCCCGGTTTAGACATATAACGCTGTATCACCGATTCCATGCCTTGTTGTTCCAGCAAATCGCTTTCATCGTAAAAGCTATCCTGATCATTTAGACCCGCTAGGGTTTTGTTGATCAACGATGTAGCATAGATGACTAGTTCGGCGTCAGCGTTGTCATAGTCTTTTAGAAGTCTGTGGGAAAAGTAAAGATACAACATTTATTTATTTTTTATAAGATATTGGTTTCAAATATATTTTAATTTTTCATAGATCTTACTGCATCCTAATTCATTCAATTTACAATTTGGCCTGTCCCTTTTTTGGCCGAAATGAATATTTCAAGTGACTGTAGCCAACACAAATAGAGCTCAAACGCCAAGACGTTCTGATGACGATTATTTTTCGAAACATTATTAAAATCTAATAAAACGACCCAGTACCGAAAGCATAATTATAATCAGTCCTGAAGTTCGTCATGGGCCGTGCAACAAAAGATGTAAGAAATCAAGATGATCAGGTCACGAAATGCCTCTTCAGTTAAGAGTACAAATAGAAAGACAAGTTGAGCAATAGGCCGATGAAAGAGCGGTAGGCACACAAGACCATTCGGAGGCGAGAAAAACAACTTTCGCAGAAATGAAGGCCACGCGCCGTCGAAAGTTCTTGTGTAAGGATTTTAAAAACACTCTTCCTTAACTTATCATTAGTGATCGGCATTGTACCAACAATACTTACGCGGTGGCACTAAAGATTTTCGAGGTCGCAACTTGCTAAAGTTGCAATGAAGATGATGTAGATACAACTAGGTACTTTAGCCTATACTATCTAGTTTTCGCTGAACAAAGGTTAAAGCTTCTCGTTTGTCATATGTCCCCGTTACGAACCCGGCAAATTGGTTGGAATTGATAGTAACTACCTACTTTATTTTCTGAAAAAATCTCATTTATTTATAAATGCTTGTGATTTTCCTTAGTTTTGCTATAATAAATGAACTATCTTGGAGAAATACTAGAGCTTCACTTAAGCTGCGCTTTTTTCTATGCGAAGAGTATTACTTCTTCAGATATACCAGCTTCATAGCATTGAAATCTTGTCCTTTATCCTTTAAAAATCATTAAGAGAAAGGTTGAACACACTGAGAATACCCAATCGAATAATAGCCAGAAGTCCAGCTATTAACTATTTATGCGTACAAACTACTAGTTTAAAATAGATCAATAAACTACTTGTCTATTTTGGATCAAATCTTTTGTTTTTATTTAAAATAATTAAAAAGACGATATAAAAAACTAATTTTTAAGAAGTGAAAATAATTTATGCTATTTAAACTAAAACAAAGCAAATTTTGAATTAAGCGTCTTGTTTGTCCAATTTTCATTGTGTTCGAAATAAATAAAATTAATTTTGGCTTAATGTTTGAAACTAGTTAGACTTCATACCGGAAATTCTATAAAAAAATTATGTACCCACATTTGTATAAATAAGTTTCTTAAGGCCGTATAAAGACTTAAGTAACAATCTTCATTTAATTGTTGCCCAGCTCTTACGGAGCAGCCTATAAGTATGCAACACCACTAGTTGCAGTAGTATATGTTGCTAGCCACTTTAATGTGGTGGGTTCTTAGCAACATTTGTATATTTGTTCAGGCACATGTATCTACGACATTCACAGGGGAACTGTTGCTAAGTGGTGAGTTTGCAGCAACACTTATCAACAAAGTACAAGTATACAAAATTGCGTAGTTATATGTATGTAGGCATGTATGCCAGGTTGTAAATATTGTTAAATACCAAAGGTAATTACAATAACAAATACTGAGGCACAACATGCTAGTAAATCGCTAATAAAATTATTAATCAGTGGCGAGTTTTATAATTATCAATTTTGGTTAAATGATTTCATTGTTTGTTTATTGCATTTTGATAATATATGTACATATTTTAATTAGTTCGATTTTTATTAGAGCACAGAGAAGAAAAATTTGAAATTTCCCACAACAGCTGGTTCTATGATAACCATATTGACCCGGATTTTGTTTTTGTTTTTCAAACATAAATCAGAAAAAATTTAACTTTGCCTGCTTCGAAGCTATAATATCCTTCACAATATATTTTTCTTGATTTTAGTCGCTTAATTTGATTGATAGTTATATACTATGGTTGCTCACTTTGAATAGTCCATGCCAAATTTTGTTAAGATATCTTGTCAAATAAAAAAGTTTTCCATACAAGGACTTAAGTTAGATTGGTCAGTTTATATGGCAGCTATACGCTATAGTTGTTCGATATTGACAGTTTCGGCAAAAAAGCAGCTCTTGATGAGAAAGGGACGTGTGCAAAATTTCATGGCGATATGTCAAATTTGAGAAACTAGTGCGAGTCATGGGTAAACCGTCTTAGCGCGTGATGCTAATAATTTATAAATATACTTGATATGATCCTTGACGTTTCTTTTTGTGTGTTACAAACATCGTGATAAACTAAGTATACCCTGTTCGAGAAATACAATAAAAAAAATTTAAATTTGTTGGACACCGAATTTAACAATTGTCTAGTGGATGCCTAACAAGAAGTATTTTAAAACTTTCTTAACCAGTTTTGATTTTTTTTTTTTTTTTGTTTTTTTGCTGTTGTGACTTTTGAAACAATGTATTGTAGAGTGATCTTAAAGCTTATTTTTTCACTTAGCGAGATTCAATTTAAAATACCTTGATTCTGATACTAAAGAAATACAAACAAATAGCCTGAATAGACCTGTCATGGATTCAAAGCACTTTGTCGATACCAAAGATCCAACTTTAGGAGATTTTCCAGCTTCACAGAATACTGTCGCTAATAGTGCGATCTGCAATACTTAATTCTCCGATCTCCGCTACTTATTGGAGGTCGGTCGTATAACCGAAGCTTACTTAATGGGATTTCGTTCAACATGACTAGAGTCGTCTTATGAAGATTTCAATATAGATATACATTTTTACATGAAAAAATAGTTTTGGGGCTATTTTTTCATAAATAAATAGTTTAGATAATTTCTTCCAATTTTATAAAGTTGACTTTGCCTCCCACTAAGCCAAAAAGGGAATGCTTTATTTGCTCTATAAGTCTCTTATTATCCCCTTCTATTATAGAACATGGACGATGACGATAAATATTTTTGCAGTTTTAGGCTTTCTAATTTTTTATATTTTTTGCTTAATTTAAAAAGAATATGCCGTTAATATCTGAAGTCTTCTTTTATATTATATATGTATGTACCTAAAACATAATATTTTTATGTATATATATATTAATATATTATCTGTAAATATATATATGTATAGCATTACCTCATCAGATTCGACCATGGCAATGTGCCTTGTGTTTTGTCCACCGCATGTATGGCATTCACCAGGACATAGCAATTCGTCTCGGCGTATTCCACAAATACCAACAACAGCTTGAGTGCCGTTTTCACCACAGAACGATAATTCGATGCGATCAACGAGTAGAGCCATTGCATTGTGGGCTCGTGTTTCATCACGCCATTCATGCCGTCCACATAGAGCATCACCTGTTGTTGGCAAAAAAGTAACCACAAACATTTTATGTATATATGTCGGTCTGTTTGTTAATGTGGAAAATATGATAAGGTTTAAGGCGAAAAAACAGCAAATAAATGCGGTTAATTGGCAACGTTGAGCAAATAAAATGTTGCATTTAGCGCTGTGCAACCGACTTAAAAGCAACAGCAAAGTAAGCGAAAAATGCGCAAATGAAAAGGCATGTCTGTATGTATGTGTGTGTGTACATACCTGACCCAAGGCACGCAAAATGTAATTTTGATAATTCTGATCGGCTCCATTACCAACACGCACAAGACAATTGAGTCCACCCAACGCCACGAAGGCATGCACCAGGTCTTTGTCCTCTTGAAAGACTTGCTTCAATGAAAATAGTGCACGCCGCAATTCGCTGCCTTCGGAGGAGAGTAATTTTTCTGTAAAAGAGCAGAGGAGATAATAAATAAATATGTTTAGAGTAATAAATAAGGTAGGATTACAAAATTGTTTGAATTCGGATAGGAGTAAAAAATTTAACACAGCTCTCTAAATTTATTCTAAATAAATAAAGTTATATCAAATAAGTTCTTCTATGAAATAAAGAGTAATTTAAATAACATTAATTGGTAACAGTAGCTTGCTTCAAACGGTGGTGGCTGCGCTCAAAATAGCAATAGATGTACGGCTCCGGAGTACAGCTTCCTGTATAGAGCTCACTGCTTTTACGCTCAAAACTAGTTGGACAACTTAGCAATAGCACCAAGCCAACCTGTGTAACTGCGAAATTCTTCTGATACAAAAATTCAGAAGTTCTCTAAACTACCTGCACTTAGCAAAGACTCCACTCAACCTCTGCCGTGCTGTGGATCCGGCAAGCGACTTCAGTGCGACTGAATTGAATTTTTCAATTCTACCTGCCTTTGGGTTTAAAGCACAGCCACCATCGATTGACTCTTGACATTTGTCTCTTGAAATTCAAAAGTATTTTCAATAGAAGGAAACTCATTCAAAGTCTATAATACTCGACACTATACAGTGGAATCGTACCCGGCGCGATTAAATATTTTGTCCACTGCATCTGTAAAAGTAATTTCGAGGAAAGCGAGATAAGTCATCTAGCCGCTTTCTTCTGCGTTTCGCCAGACTAAGATTGAAATGCTTCGGTTGACACATCTACGGCGAGCCTATCGAACTGATTAAGATTGATATTAATTGCCTTAAGGGGCTTTCCTGGTACAGAACTAAAAAAAATACATATTTTCGAAGTTTAACCATTTAAATATTGTCCACAAGAGGATTCTGCAAAATTCAAATTATTTTCGGAATTATAAGTATTTTGTTGTCCCGGCATCTAAACTGATCCGGGAAGTACTCGAAACTTTAAACGTCATTTTCTTGGCTATCTTTTTCAAAACAATTTCTCAGGTTCTATTGATCCGATTTACCTGAGAGAGATATATTTTTAGCGACTTCTTTATGAAGTTGTCTATATGTGAAACTATGCATAATCCCAAATTTCAAGTGTTATTATTTAAAAAAAATTGTTGAAATGCGAAAAAATCAAAAACATAGTATGATTTTTTTTGCAGGAGGTCACCATTTCGTGGAAAATTTTTTAACTTTTTCATAAAATCAGGCTTTGCATCATTGCCTTAGATTAATAATTTTTTTTTTTTTTTTTTTTTTAGATGTTGAAATCTTGGTTATGGTCATGTGGCAATTTTTTGAGCCACACACTGTTTTGTTCTTAATGTTAATTTCCTTCTCCACAAAAATTACCTGGATTTCATGCTTCTAAACATGATTTTTTCTTTTTTTGTGTTGAAAGTTCAAAACGCTTCAACGTTCACAGTTGTTCAAATGAGAGCCATCTATAGGATCAACTTTCTGTCCTAACCTAACCTAATTCAACTTTATCCATTGAATTTGATTAATTTCATTTTAACTTATTTAAAGTTTATAGTAACTGTTTTCAGTTTAATTATGTTTGACTTAAGTTTATTTAATTGAATTACAATTTATTGAAATTCAAATTGTTTTAATTTTGATTTAAATTTGTGGGTATTAAATTTAACTTAATAAAATTTATTTTATTATTTAATTTAACTTAATTTGATTTAATT